GCTCAGATCTTTCTGCCTCCAGGTGGATCAAGCCGTCCACAGTGTGAATCTGGTCCTCCTTAGTGCTGTGTCTGTCAGTCTGTCTGTCTCCTCCTGTGTAATTCTGTGAAGTCCTCGTGTCAGCTGTGATGACTCTCTGCTGGCTCTCCTGTTGCTTGTCTGCACACGTGGACATCCACCACCTCTCTCATCACCTTCATCAAACGCCTGCAGGACCTCAGGGGTTATGAAGGGTTAAATCTCAGCACCTGTCCTCTGAAGACACAGCTTTCAAAGCACCAAGAGTCCCCAGGTACCCTAGACTGTCATGACATGCTGGGGGGAGTCAGAGTCTCTGATCATTCTGCTGCAGGAGGGGGGAGAAAGAAAGGGATCAGACAGAAACCATACTTTTGATTGAATTGACAACATTTAGTTTTTAAAGGTGGTGCATATTTTACAGTGAAAGAGATGATATCCAGCAAACTGACATAATTACATAAATAAAGTTATCAGACAGGGTGATCATAATTTTCTGACTTATTGCACATCTGCCAGAGGCTCCAAAGTAAACAGAATATTTTATTGTACTTATTTATACATGCAAAAATTGGGATCAATAAAATCTTCCTCAGGCCTGCAGATTAAAACAAAATAAAGTTTATTGGTTACCAGCAGCATCACACACAGAGCAGAAGTTATTACAGAGCACTGCACTAATAAAATGCACAGCAAAGTTTTAAAGTTTGCATTGTTGTTGAAGACTCTCTGAGACTTAAAGAGAAATCAGACTGCCTACAGTCAGAGAGAGCTGAGACTTGACTACTCGATAAGTTCCCTGCAATAAAGAGGAGACTATTCTGTCTCAACTAAAGAGAAGATAAGCCAACATTTTCAACATAAACTTTCACACAGTGAAATGTTGGATAAACACAATAGAATGCATCATAACAGTTTACTCAATGAACAGCATAACATATTTCATGAAAATATAGAATCACATAGTTTTATCAAAGATGTGTGTTGTCTTTACAAGAAGTTTGACTCTGGTTGATCTTTTATAAGAAAATGATTTTTTTGTATATGCTAGCAACATACACTACAGGCCAAAAGTTTGGAAGCAAGGCCATTACAGGCCGAGCAGGTGGGAGTAACTTCAAGTTTTTGTCCACAATGCTTTTTTTTTTAAATCCAGCATGAGTTTTATGTATTTTGGGATGTATTTACTCCATGATCAGATGTTGCTTTCATGGAAATGCACCATTTTACTCCATTTACCTTTAGATATACATTGATGTTAACAGACCATTGCTAAATATATGTCAGCAAAAGATAATGAGGGCTTAGTTTTAGGGTCGAAAACATTTGCAAGAGTCACAACTTCAGTGCAAAAGCAAAAAAACAAATCACAGTTGGATTATTCACTTCAACTTTTTGGCTTTTGAGAGTCTGCATACAAAAATTCGAATAAATCTCAACTGCGTTCAAACTACCGCAAAAATGGCTAGAAAGAAGCAACTGAGTAAAGAAATAAAAGTACAGATTTGTACATTGAGGAAAGAAGGATACAAAGGTGTTTAACAAAGGAGTCCACTACACTCTGAAGAGACTAGAGGAACCTGGAAGTTATGATGATAGAAAAAGACCTGGACGAAAGAGAGTTACTACAAAAGCAGAGGATAAACATAGCATTGTCACCAGTAAGAGAGATCAGCGAAAGACAGCACCACAAATAAGGGAGGAAATCAACATGATAAAATCGAAACCCATATCTCTGACAACCGTGAAATGACGTTTGAGAAAGGCTGGTCTGAAGGGTTGTGTATCTGCAAAAAAAAAAACACTACTTCGTCCACAGAACAAGAAAAAGAGATATGAGTGGGCAAAAGCTCACAAAAATTGAACTTATGATGACTAGAAACAAGTTTGCACTGTTTGGTTCAAAACGCAGAGTCTATGTCCGCAGACAAACTGGTGAATGTCTGAAAGCACCATGTGTTACACCCACAATTCAGCATGGAGGTGCTGCAAAACATCCCCATACCATGGAGCTACCTCCATGGTATGGGGATGTTTTGCAGGTGATGGAGTAGGAGATTTGTTTGAAGTAAAGGGCATCATGAAGAAGGAACAGTACCACTCTATCCTCTAGCACCATGCTGTTCCATCTGGACTCAGACTTGTGGCTCATAAGTTTGTTTTGCAGCAAGACAATGACTCTAAGCATTCTGCCAAGCTCTGTCAGGGTTACCTAGACAAAAAAGAAGAGGAAGGTGTTCTTCAAAAGATGGTTTGGCCCCTCAGTCTCCAGACCTTTTCTCCAATAGAGCTTGTGTGGGATGAATTGTATCTATCAGTCAGAAAAGCGTGTCCCATGAATCAGCAGTTTCTTTTTAATGAACTTAAGAAAGCTTGGAATGCAATCCCTGGAACATATCTTAGAAAACTTGTGGAACGAATGCCTGGTATATGCCAAGCTTTTGTTAAAGCCAGAGGAGGTTACTTTAAAGAAAGCAAAGTCTAAGCAACAATAACTCAAATACCTAATAATTATAGCCAAAATGTCTTCTGATAAGTTACTCTTTACACAATAGTCATATTTATTGTGTTGCAAATTATATATATGAAACTATGATCTTTTTTTTGTACAAATCTGATCTTGCTTCCAAACTTTTGGCCTGTAGTGTATGTCAAAAAAGTTTTCATGCATCAGCTCTTTTAGCAACGCTGTACTTTTGTGAACTCAGGAGACCTGCACTGCACTTCACGTTGAGGTCCATCCAGTCTTGGTTTTGGTCCTTGTCCCTTTTGTACAGAGATGTCTCCAGATTCTCTGAATCTTTTAATGATATTATGTTCTGTAGATTATGAAATCCACTGATTCTTTCACATTTTACACTCAGGAACTTTACTCTGAAACTGTCAAACTATTTGCTCTCACAGTCTCACAGAGTGGTGAACCTCTTCCCATCTTTCCCTCTGAGAGTCTCAGCCTCTCTGAACGTCCTTTTTTTACCGAGTCATGTCATTAATCTGTTGTAAATTAAACTCATTAATTGGGAGATTTTCCTCCAGATGTACTTGGTGGATAACACAGCTATTTAGAAACTTGGTGCCATCCTTAAATTTCAAGTGCGCATATATTTTCATAAAAAATAAGATTTCTCTGTTTCAAAATTTTGTGTGTTGTATTTGCACAATTACAAATAGACTTAAAATGATTTGCAAACTATTAAATTGTGAAAGAGGAGCCATGTATCATGAGCCCACGGTTCCACCTTAAGCCCTAAAAATGTTGCCTATCAGTCTCAGAGGAAATACTTTCAGAATACAGGAGCATATAGGTTCATAGACTTAAAGGATATACATTATCTTGGTGGGATTATTTACCTGGATAGTGGACAAAGGATTTAAAGACAGAAGCTGATAAGGGGAGAGTTTGCTAACATCACTAATCCACTGACTCTGATGATGTAATCAGTCAGTCATCAAACAGGGTACAGATCCAGGATCAGAGAGGAACACTCTGATCAGAGATTTTCTGTTGTCCTGATGCGCCCCTCTTCAGTGTCCTCTCGTCCTCTGATAATAGAGTCTATAACCACTTAACATCTCTCTGACAGCCACAGCAGCTCCTGTCATTCACCGCTCTCTAAATCTCATTTACAGAGGAGCCCCGAGGTCAGGCTGTTTGCATTGCACTCTTTGTCATATTAAAGCTCATTTCCTTTCATTTACTTATTTGTCTCTGGATGACAAGTCAAACCATGTCTGCACAGATAAAAGTGATTTGTATCTGCAAAATGCATTATCACCTATGTAATCTAATGCAATCCAATACAACAGCTCTACCATAAATACTTCTTTCCCACAGCTTCAGCGTTTTCAGTTTTTGCTGACACACCACGAAAGTGATCATTTTACTTTGAGTTTTTTAAGATTCCTCAGAGGGAACTTGGATGACTATTGTCCATGCTCTGACTCGGATTAACATGCACAATGTGAGGCCCGGCTGCCCTGGATCTCCAGACAAGCGCTCATCTTTTCTAAAGGAACAGCTCAAACTGATAGGCTGGATATACACTTACATTTCAACCTGGTGTTTGCATACACAACTGGCTCTGTCATGAACTTCATCTGTATGAAGTTGCCCAGAAGAACATGGTCTGCTCTTTGCCCTCACTGGAACATCTTTACAGTTCCTGTTGCCTCAGTACAGCTCAGACACTCTCTGTTTGAAGAAAAACAGACCATGAAACAGTTTTTATCCAAGAGATTTAACTACATTTACACATTTACATTTACTACATTTACATCTACTAAAACTACTGCTGTGCAAAATGACAGAAATGATCAATGTAATGTTTACCTGCAAAATGTAGACGTTTCCATAAATTTGCCATGTGTTTTATTTTTCCTTTTTAAAGCTGCTGTAAGTAACTTTTGGTTTGTGTTTGTTTTGGCGCCCCCTCTGGACAGAGTAATACCACTTATCTCTTGTCCCATAAATATGAAAAAAGTGTTTCAGCACAAAAAACTGAAACATCCTCTTGTCTTTTTACTGTTTTAACCCTTTACCTGCCAAAATTTAGCTACCTTTTTGTTAGCCTGCTGCCTTGGCTTACACCTGTTCTCCCCATCTTCATGATTTCTTGTCCACTGGCCTCCTGGGTTACTTCCTCACCATTGGCCCAGAACCACCAGCTTCCCCTCCTCTACTCATTTTCACATTTTCTAGACCTTATCGGTTGTCAGCCTGCATCTTGGTTCAATCATATCTTGTGAAACAGGTCAAAGCATGGTGTGGTTGCCGTGTGAATTCTTGTGCGTGCATTTCAACAGCAGAGCAACTGAAAGAGTTTGAAGAAAAAAAAAGAGAGCAATTTTTTATGGCCAAGTTTAAAAACTCAAACACCTTTGCAGGAACTATGTGCCCTACCTTTCAAAAGAGGAACAACGGTATGTGAAACTTTGAAGTTCATTTTTCCCTCACTGGTAAGCAGTCTCTGGGGAGTTTATTTTTGGCGTTGAGCTTTGTGGCGTGTGTATTTTTATCCGTCAAACATGTTAAGATCAACGAGACAAAAACAACTTTGGCCCGAAGCAATGAGGACGGAATCAGGGCATGAATCTGTTTCCTAACATATCCCAGTCTATAACATCAACGCATGCAGAGTGTGTGTGTGAGTGTGTCTGAGTGTGTGTGCAGACGCTCCGCTGACTTCATCAGGATTCAGGGAAGGCTTCAAGGAGGAATACATTATCAAACTGTGATAGACTCTAAAGCCCTCTTCATACATAATAAATTATTCAGAGCTCTGTAAACTAAACTCAAAGTCAATGATAAATGCGATCCAGTGGCCGCAGCGCTCCTCCACACTTCATTAGGCCGGCAGGAGAGCAGCGAGGACTGAAATAACAACAGAGCGAGGGATGAAGGGTTTAGCTGGGAGAGGGAGGGAGGCGCGAGGAGGTGAGGCGGAGGAGGAGGAGGAGGAGGAGGAGCAGGGAGCACAGGGCTGCAGGATTAGGAGAGTGACAAAGACAGACTTTAACAATCCCTCTAATAAGAATTCCTGAGCTCTGTGTGCTTTTAAAAGCTCCTGTGAGGAGGTTTTCTCACTGTTTTGGAAAGTCAGTCTCAGTCTGTGTTTACGACACAAAGTCAAATTACAGAGCAGCTCACTTTAAGACCTAATGAAACTCATTGACTAAATGTTAACTCAGTCTGACTGCTCGTAAATGCAAAGAGTCGAAATTAATGCACAGCAGTCTGATCGCTCCAACGGGTGTCTTTCACAGAGATCAGCTTTATAAGATGAAGGTGTGTGAATCTCTGATCCACTCCACATACACACACATTCAGATACACATGCAGATACACACTCTTTTAACTTTCTTTGTCTTCCTCTGAGAGCTTCGCTTTGTGTCTGAGTGCATTTCAGAAAACACTGTTCCCAGCAAGAGTTAAAACACACTTTCAAACTCAGCATCCATGGAAACTGTCCAGATCTGCTCTCCCTGTTTTGAAGCTCTTCAGTTATGAATTCCAAATTTTTCATTTCAACACATTTTGTATCAACCACATTATTGGACCAGAATCAGACCTGCATCTATAAACTTAAACAAATCCTAGAAAAAAACTGTCGATATGAGCGTTTAATGTGTCCGATTTCACTTTGCATGTTTTGAAGGGTCCCTTTATCGCAAAATCTGTGTGAGAAATCAAACGTGGGCCAGGACACAGCGGACACTAGAGGGTAGCAGAGTGTCAGCACTGTACAGGCAACATTATTCCCAGTATGTGGAGAAGTCTCACATAGAAAACAAACATAATCATTAAGCTTAAATCTGGCTCTCACCAAAAGATTTTAAAAATCCAAACAGATTTAGGAAACACCCACACATGACGAGAAATGATGACAGATTTAACAGATTTGTTCCAATAATGTGTGGTGTGCAACAATTTGGCAAACACAGCACAACACACACATAAAACACTTTGCATCAACAATCAAAGTCCTGGCCGTCAGATCTGGATAAATATCATCAAATCTTTTGAGGCCAAAGTAGCTTTTCGAGTAGGAAACGTGGCGGACTACAAGCGCTCACCGTTGCTAGCCGCTAAGCTTTCTGGTACATCTGCTGTATTTTTAGCTCACTGAAGAAATAAACTGTTATTGTGTGATTGTAAAGATAAAATGGTTTATAGTAAACGCACAGCCATTCACGTTTGCTGCATTGTTCTGAACAGTTACCTGTTCACACCACAAGGTGGCAGTAAGCGTCTGTTGATGCTTTTGGCTAAAGTTCTAAACATTGTCAAAGTGTGCTGTATGACAGAGAGATCATACTTGAGACCATAACAGAGAGGTACAAGAGTAAAAAGCCAAGGCTCATGTCATGTGTTGTAATATGTAACACTCCATAACTATCAAGTAAAATCACGTAAACAGCAATGTCATCATTTCTTATCACGTGTGGGCTTTCTGACGTTTTCAGACTCAGTTGGGATTTTAAAATCTTTGAGCGTGTCCCAGGCTCAAGTCTATGTTCCATGTTTACTATTTTTTCCATGACTGCATCTGTTCTTCATCCTTCTTCAGTCAGCTTGCTTTCGACTGGCTAATGTTTTTTTGCACATGACAATGGACAGAGTGCATGATTGGAGGTCCACGGGGTTCCCCTACACTTTTACACAATTAATATTTCCAATTTCAGGGAGTCTCTGATCATCTTCCACCCAGATCAGAAGGAAAAAGAAGTCACGTGACAATAGAAATTCTACATTTAGAAAGGCTACTGAGTAGGACTTTGGATTAACTTTGTATAGGCCCTGGTACACCAAAGTTAGACTGCATGATTCTTTTGTCTTTAATGCTGTTTATTGTATCAGATTAGGCAACCAGAGAGCCATAAACCCATGCAGTGACTTGGCTTACATACTGTATGTATTAGACTACAAGTAGGAATCCGACCAATCAGTGGGACAGATATGATGCCAATGGGAGAGAGTCTAAACCAGACAACACCAGGGGAATGCAGTTTCTCACCATTTTGCTGAAGTCTCTCAAATATTTCTCATTTTCAGTCTGTCATGGTTGTCCTTCAGTGATGCATGATTGAGTCAGTGATGTTGCTGGCGAAGCTTGAAAATCTTTCCCTCTTACTCATAGTTTCATCTCGCTGCACCAACTTCATCCTTCATCTTCATCAGTTGGGACTTGAGTGTGTGCAGAGTGCTCCGTGCTCTCATTGGTAAACATCACTGATGTCAAGGAGCACATCCCAGAGTACAGAAAGAAAAATCAACATGCTAAACTCTCTGTTGGGAGATAGTGAGGCATCCTTAAAAAAGTCGTTCACTGTGACCCACTGCACTGGACAAAATGGTGGATTTTTAAGGCTGAGAGGTCCCGACAGGTCTGCCGGATCAGGTGATGACTGTGCTGGACGTTGTGAGGCCTGACCTCAGCAAAAGAATAGCTCGGAACTCAGTAAGGATTTCAGCAAGGGTGGGAGGAGTGCTGACATGGACTCGTAAAAGAATACTTTTGGGGAGTCCTGGACCAAACAAACATGTCCTCTGTTTAGGAGGAGGCGAGTCTGAAGATCCAGGTGGAGATTTACCAATACCCCGAGCAGAGGTCTTTGAGGTGCTCTGGAAGCTCCTTAGTCACAGAACATGCTTGATGCTCTTGACACTGCTTAGCTGTCTTGGCTGATATGTCTCTCCAGGGTCGTGTGGAGGTTGGGGACAATATCTTTGGTGTGACACAGATCAGATGGTGGTCCCAATTTTTAAAAAGGGAGACAGAAAGCTGCTCACACTCAGCCTCCCAGATAAGTGTTACATCTCAGAATTAGGTTTTGCAGATGATGTGGTTCTGTTAGCTTCTACAGGCTGGAACCACCAGCAGACACCAGGGTGATTTGCAGCTAATCAGAAAAGAGATTTAATGAGAGTCAGTGAATTCAATTGTGAGGTTATGTTTTTCTGCAAGTTAAGGAGACTAGTTTAGAAAACATAGATAGTTCATAAAACAAAGACATATTTGTAGAACCTTTAAAAAGTATCTTGCTCTCTGAAAATACTTTGCTGCAAAAACTGATTTTGCACAAAATATTCTTTAGTTAGGAAAATGTTTTTTTTTTTTTCAGAACATTTTTATGTTTTTAAGATTTATTTGCGTTTCAAAAAACACTCATGCTTTCATAATTACTGTTTTCTAAAATATTTTTTATTTTTTGTGACTGTTTTTAATCTATAGTCTTGGGGTTTAATTATTATTATTATTATTATTATTATTATTATTATTATTATTATTATTATTTTTATTTCATGTACTGTTCCAGATGATTTATGAAAAAAAAAGCCACCCCAAGGTTTTTGCCACCTTATCATTGGCATGCTCTTAAGTGTGTGTTTTTCCAGTTACTTATCAGTAGCTGGTATGTTACCTCCAGTAGTTGGAGGTCAGCTCCAGAAACAGAACAGAAGCTGAGCTGTGAAGCACCAGGGGACAGTTATGGAGCAAAACATCCATTTGCTTTTTAAAAATCAATACATATCTTTCAGTAAATACCACATTTAAAACTTTTCTGCTTCACCTCGCCTCAGAGCTTTCCTTTTGAGGCAGAACTAACATGTAGGGTGGCTGCTAAACCAAACATGCTGACTGCAGATCTGCTGAAGCTCTGCATGAAGTCACACAATAATGAAACATGTGATGAAGAGACAGGAAGGGCCTGTGACAACAACGTCAGATCCATCACTTAACTCTTTATTGACTCCAGATTCAATGACTCATGTCAGCCTCACTCAAACAGAACAGCAGACATGATTAAAATTACTGATGACAGCTTTTAGATTTCAATTAGATTAAATTAGATCTTCCATCAGTCAGGTTTTTTTAATCATTTCTGAGTGGGTCATTTTCCTGACCAGCTAAAAAACTGTGCATTAGGCCCTTTTTTATTAAGAGCTGTTGAGTGGTAATTGGGAGAAGAACATGCCTGAGTGATAAGATTTAAATGAAGATAGACTGTTGCACCTCTTGCTGGTGTATTGCACAAAGACACAAAAGCAACATGAAAGCAATGTTATCTTTGTACAAGAACTTACTATTTTTTAGTGCAGCCCACTCACCAACAACCAAATCCATGCTCCCTAAACCACAATCCATATAAATCTTTCACTGCCAAATGCAGTTTTAGAGAAAACTAAGATGGCGGACAACATGTTGTAACAAGCTGCTAGCTCTTCAGCTATGTGGCACATCCGTTTTGATGGCAGCACAACTTTTCTCTTTGTCACTTTGATGGAGGTATGATACCATGAATGAATCAGTCTATCCTTCATTTCTGACATCAATCTAACTTTAGGCTTCATGTTTACTGTTGTCACCATGGTTGTGTTTATTGTGCTCCTCTCATCAGCCAGCGTGCTTTCCTAGAGACAATCCATAGATTGCATGCTCGGCTGTTCTTAAGGTTTCCCATCATAATATGATATCTGAGCGTAACTATTGAACATTTATTGTAGGTTGTCATTGTATGTAAGCTATTCTTAGTGGTCCAGTTGATGAAATGCAGACAAAAATTAGAGTAAAGTTGCTTCCATGATTCTTAGAGGCTATTCAGGTATTGTTCTTTTACATCGAGATCCAAATCCTTGTCTACATTGTTAAATCAAAGCATCCCACAAAACTTGTCTTGCACCTGGCTGTTAACTTGTGTCTTTTTTCTGGGAGAATAGACTTTTTTAAACATAAGTATATGTGGCTTCTGGTGCTTTTACAGCCAGCCTCTAGTGGACACCTGAGGAACTGCTGCTTTAAGCACTTATGCATCAGCTTATCAATTTCTTTTCGTAGAATCAGAGAGCTGTTGCACAAAACCTAGAAAACATATTAAGTCAGGATTTTCTTTAACCCTGGCTGAACCTAGCTGGGACTTGGTTGCACAAAAGCAGGGGCACATAAGTTACCATAGTGAGTTATTCTGTGCAGCTAGCCTGCTCATGCCCTCTCATGTCAGCTTAACTCATTTAACTACGCTTGGATTCGGTTTCCATGGTTACCTGAACACAAGCAAGGGGGGACATAGCAGGACCAGAAACTGGCCGTGTGATAAGCATAGACACCACACTGCTGATTAGCATCTCGGAGGAGACACTCCAACACAAGTACGTGGCACTGAAGACAGAGAAGACAACTACGATGTAGGTCCGGAGCAGAAAAATAAACCAGACACTAACAGGCGTCCAAACTCCAAGAAGTGAGGTAAAACAAGGAGATAAACTACCAAAGTGCTAAAACATACTTTAATAGTCTGATAGTATTTTGTGGAAATTCAAAGCAGTCAGAGAGTCTGCATGTTTTAACATTGCGAATAAACTAGTCATGTATCTCTGTCTGATTTGGCTGACTATGAATCCCTCACACTGACCTTTCATTCGATCTGAAGTTGAAATTTGATAACGGCCAACATTTCCTCTTTTATATCCCTTCAGTCCATCCTCCATCTAACAGTTTCTGAACAACACAGACCTGATTTAGAGACAAAGTGCTGCACATGAATCAGTGTTTGAGCATGAATCCTCTCTGTGGAGAAATCCTGGACTCTCTCCTGCGGAGAGATGACGGACCAGCAGATCAGTCGGATCAGTCAGAAATGGAGGAACTATCAGTCCGTCCGTGGACTGCAGCCAGTGCTGGGTCTGAACGATGAAAACCCTGGACTGGAGCTGAAGCACCAATCAGGAACAGATATCTGAGCAAACCACAGAGAGATCTGCCAACACTCACAGGCTGCAGGAGGAGAGGTTTGAAGGGTTTGTTGGCTGTATGTTAGACTCTCTCTGTGTGAACAGGACACATCAGAACTCATGGAGCTGCACTGACAATGTGATAACTGCTGGGAAACGTCCTCATTTATAATAATGTTCCTCCAAGTGGGCTGCAAATATGATCAAACCTGTAGAGTGAGGTCTGCAGAGGATGCTTTATCAGCCCGAGGGTTTGTATAATTTACAGATAATCACACCATCAGTGCAGCAAAACATCCTCAGCTTCGAGCTGCAGGCCTACAAGCTTTATGCCAATATATCTGATATATAACCATCAGGTAATGAACACATTAAAGCTCCTCACAGGAATCAAGACCAAACATCACTCTGTGACACATCACTGCCAACTGCAGCAGAGCTGGATATCAGGTTCACTTCAGACTGTAGGAGAGAGGACCCAAAGGCAGACTGATGATGACGGAGCTCGAGCAAATTCAAGTTTATTGGGCAACAAAAAAGCATTACGCTCCTAAAAGACAGCATCCAGAATAGGCACACAGCATGGGAACATTTTAAATCTGGAGAATAATGTAGCATGGGCCTGAACTGGGAACTCTCTGGTTCCTAAGCCAACTCCATACACACTGAACAATTACCTTAAAATTTAACTACATTTTAGTGCAAAGGCAACAAACAATCAACTCTTCAACCTCATATTTTAACACTAACTTATTTAACACTAACAAAAGCAATCTCAATGCTCAGGTCTGACTTTGGGTGGGAACCTTTAATCCCTTATTCTGAGCTCTATCTGAATAATATGAATCTGCACCTTAGCAGGAATATAGATCTGCTGATTTTTACTGAGCTCCTCTTATTTTGGTGTTTATTTACCACCAGATTAAAGTTCACTCACTCTATCTTCTTTGAAAATCTTTTAAAACCATCTCTTTCTTGTTTTAATATCTTATCATTTTAACTTTTGCAGTCAATACCTCTTTTGATTTAACACCTGATGTGAAGCACTTTTGCCTTCCTGCTTTTATGTACAAACATGCAATGTAAATGAAGTTGAAGTGCAGCTCAATAACAACAAGGAGAAAAGTGCAGCTCAGCAGGATGAGAGGACATGTTGGTGTTGCAGTTCAGCAGTATAGAGGACTGCTAAAGCATCTCAGGAAATAAAACTGACTCTGCAGCTTTGCAGAACAAAGAATTGTTGCTGCAGCTTGGCACTGTTATGAAGTGCTGCTGCTGTAGTACAGCAGGAAGTTAGGAATCTTTTGTTTTAACTTAGTAGGATGGAGATGGAGATCTGTTGCTGCAGCTCAGTGGGAATAAATAGTTGTTGCTGTGATAAAACAGGAGAAGGGAAATGTTGCTATAGTTGCTGCATCATTGTAAGAATAAAGAACGTTTGCTGCAGTTTAGTAAGAATTGAAAACTGTTGTTTTGTATCAGCAGAAGGGAAACTGTTGCTGCAGCTCAGCAGGATTAGAGAACTGTTGCTACAGCAGGAAAAGACTCATCCTGAAACCCAACTGGGGAAAAAAAGTGTTATGCAGCTCAACAAGGATAAATTAAAATAGCAGATACTCAAAAGGATCAGGAGAATGATCAGGTAAGTATGAACTTTATCGTCCAGACGACTGTCAAATCTGCTCACTCAAAGTTCCCACAAAGTATTTTTTTGTCGATCCTGTATTTGTTAACAAAATTGAGCTTAAATATCACTTCCCCAGAATTTCTTTTTGACCCATGACCTAACCAGGGACATAAATGGATTTATTTTGTTTTACTAAATCATGTCCTTGAGATTTAAGTTATGGCACTAAAATAGTCTTTTACAGTTTGTTTGAAATTAAAAGTGAGGGAGCAGTGATAATAAGGGCTGCCCTTCTGTTTCACACTCCTTTCATCGAGTTGTCATATATTCACCTGAGATCTGTCCCTCATGGGCTTCTGTAGGTGATTCATATAAAACTGTTACAGCACCTGTGTTTGAAACTGATTCAAAGTCTGTAAAGGATGGCACAAAGACCTGATTCAACTTAAACCTAGGGGGAAAAAATGGAAAATATCTGTAAATGTATCTGGCATGGAGAAAAATCCGTTCTTATTAATAAGCATACAGTAAATCCTTCAACAAACATTTTTATTTAATTAATGATCATTTAGCAGTTACACATGCTGTCCGATCAAAGAACGGTACCTTCTGTAGCAATCAAAGGACCTGGTTTACATTTGGAGGATATATGATAACTGTTGTTTCACTTCGTAATCGCTAAATCAAATTTTTTTTAACAATTCTGAAGAGAGAGGACAAAGACCCTTTAATGAGGGACAAAGACCCAACACCATTGGCACTATTTTCGTGTGGCGCAGGCAAGGCGTAAGTCAGGTCTGCCGCGTCAATGAGGCGTGCTCAAGCACACTTTGGTATTTTGGTGAGCAGCGTAAGTATCCCCCCTCCCTAACTCAGCTACTGCCAGCGGCGCAAGTAGGAAAGAGGGAGGAGTGGGTTTAACACAGCCGAGTCCTGTTTTCACCAACCACATCAGCTTCTCTCCTCACTTTTAATTCTGCCACCGGCGAAGTAGTCAAAGAGATGGTTGAAAACAGCATGTCATCATGTTTGCCCTGTCATAAATGGGGATCCATGTTTCAAACATAAGGGTTTCAGCTTTGGGGGTATTTTGATTCATTTGTGGTTCATTGCACACTGACAGGTAATATCTCAAAGCAGCACACCGCTGACATGGAATATGAGGCACATTCAGGTCGACCGAAAGTGTCTCACATGTAACAGTGATTATGTTACATTTACTGTTTAGTGAATAAATGAACTAACGAGGTGAACTGACCTGTTAGCACAGAATTAGCTGGGTTAGCTTTCCCCTAAAATATCATCATTAGCAGTTTATTGGTCTTCATTTGGTCAATCTTTTTAAGCATCATGTGCATGAAAGCCCTTTATGTGGTCACATCCTTTCCTGTCTCTAAACCTCTGTACTGGCGTATGAGCTGTCCTCATTTCAGAGCGTCCATCACAGAGAGCTGTGAGTCTTCACTCTGACTTTGATGTGTTTTCTAAAGAGCACCTTTTTATATGTTCTGTAGCTTAAAGCAGCTAAAGCAGCAGCTGTTCCTGGTCAGAGAGAGGTGAAGTCCTCAGAACGTGACGCCATCTGTTCTCGCTCTCCTCATCCCGAACACCTCACTTCCTCTAACTCTGAACACACATCTATTATTATCTCTGCATGTGTGTCTGTGTCCTTTAGTATAATGGACTTTAAAGAGACTCTGTGTGTGTGTGTGTGTGTACGCATACTAGCCGTAGGTCTATTCATTAACATGCTTCTTATTGGCCCGGCTCCCTAATGACGGCCGTTTGATAGCTTTTATTTCCTCGTTCTGACTCTCTGAATCGGCTTTACAACACGGCCAAGGTCAACATGATGATAAATGAAACTCACTCTGCAGTACGCGCACACACACACACACTCTCTCACACACACACACATACGCACGAACGCACAGTGGAAGTTTCTCAGTGTCAGTAAATGCCTCGTAGGCATGCTTGATTAAATCTGTTCATATTGAAACACAGTAATATGAAATTTCCATTCAGATTGTTTTAATGCTAATACGAGTCTGATGGGGGATAGAGAGTTAGAGCCTCTCTGTTAAAGTGGCAGCAAATCCACACAATGACACTCTAATGAGAAGGATTCAGATACACAGTCAGTTAGAGCCATAAATTCTGCTGATAAAACCAATGAAAGGAGATCAATGAGACATTTGACCAAGGAAAGCTCAGACGGTCAGTTTCTGAACCCAGCTTTTTGTGTGTCTCAGGGTCTAATTCACTGACAAGACTCGGGGTTTTATTGGCTGTAAAGTTATCCTCAGAGCCAAAAGCCTCCTGATACAATAATTTCCATTGAAAATAGGAATGTAATGGGGCCTCAAAGACAGGAAGAAATCTGTACACACAGTGCACAAGGGATGTTTTAAGTAAGTACAGTGAAGAAAAAAAAAAAAAAACTGGTATACTTCCTTTAACAGCAGAGGGCACTATCTGCATTTTTCTTCTCTTTTTGGACTTTTCAAAGTCCCAATCCAATCCTAATTTTTTTATTATTTAAATTGTTCTCAGTGGTCTTTACATTGGGATTATTAAGTTTTTAGCCAAAATCACATCACCTGTGTCATTTTAAAGGGCTTTTCTTCTGCAGAGCTCAAGTAGCTCATTAGCAATTCGCCTCTGAGTCGTAGGCGGAGAGAGCACTGCTCTGCACACTCCTCTTCACGCTAGCTTGTGGCCTAACATTGCCAGTGCAGTAGAAGTGGCAGGTAACATAAGAGCTACTCAACTCTCAGATACTAATGCCTTAAGGGAAAAGATGAAAGCTATCATAATAATTGGCTTTCTATTAGCTTTCTTACAAGCACGGACGGAATTTTGATTTCTAAGGTGGAGGGGGACACGTGACTTGAGAACTGATGTGACACGCGAATTCAAATGTCAATGTTCGGATTTCTTTATTTATTCCAGAATTTAGTTCCTGCCTTTACATATAGCCTAGCAAACAGCACATCTCGCACACACAGTAACAGAGGAGGCAATACTGCCAGCAGGTGGATGGAAGTATAAACCTGATACAGAGATGTAAATGAAAACTCCAATGAATGTGACTTAACGGAGAGAAAATGAATGCTGCCCCCCGGGGTCCTGTGTCTTTGCTTACAAGCATTGCAATCCGTGAACGCACACACTTGTTCTGCAATTGTCCTCTCTACTTCTCTGAGTCTGGCCGGCAGAGTGAGGCGCTGGGGGCAGAGCTTGGAGTTGTTACTTAGGAAATCTCACTGTGTCTGAACCTGGCGTTTGTGTCTGTGAGAGGTTTGCAGCAATTTGAATGCTGACATACTCTGTAAGAATCTGTTCTTTCGTTGACTGCTCAAAGACAACCAGCGAAATCTTCTGTTCTCAGATATAACATTTATTTAAGTCACATGAAAAGTAGTACAGCGCTGGACCCGCAATGACAGAGCTCCCAGGATCTGGGTATCACTCACATTTATCTTCTTGGGCAGGGATTGCCCTGGACAGAGGTTGGACTTTAACACAACCAAGTATCACTGGCCAGTTATCTCCACCATGAACAGGCCAACAACTGTCCACACACTTTTACTAAAATGTGCTATGAAATATGTGTGTGTTGTTGACCTTGAAGCGTGTATCTACTGTAGCAAACCTGTCCAACAGAACAAAGAGAACCTGTGGCTCATCAGATTCCTCCTTATCAAGTTAAATGTCATAATGTTCTGATTAAATGAAAACAACCTGTGAGTAAATGAAAACACAATCTCAGCTGAGTCAGAAACATAAAAACAGCCTGACAAATGAATGTGATTATTATTAGAGTGATTGAAAAGCTCATATGTTGATCAGCCAAAAATGTCATTATAGATGTCTTTATAAACACACTGATCCAAGAGAAGCAGACAGAAATATCCATCCATGACATAAATACAAATATTCAGCAAACATTGAAAGCTCAGATCATTACAAGTGTTTTAGGGGCAGACTGGAAAGACTTTAGATGGTTGGATTTGGAACAGGAAATAAGGTTGAGATTTTCATCTTTCTTCTTTGACGTCACTTTTTTTCTAAAGTCTCAGACCTTCAAAATCTGCACCAACTGAAGGTGATTTGAACAAGTGATCATCTTGATGATGTTGTTATCAAACTTGTGTGAAGATTTTTCAAAATGAGAAATACAAACAATGAAACTTATCCACACTCACTGTCCTTAAAAAAGACAGTGACCAAATCAGCATCTTTAGAAAAGAATGAAAAAGCGTTTTTGGTGAAACTGATCCACAAACTTTTACAAACCCGAACAATTTAATAGTTCAATGATCTCATTTACATGTTTTTGGTCTGATTGACTCAAAATTCTGTTTATTATAATAATAATAATAATAATATTATTATTATTATTATTATTATTATTATTATTATTAGTAGTAGTAGTAGTAGTATTTCTGCCACCCAGAAAGGTGATCTTCTCCAGTTTACCGAGCTGAACCATGTGGTCTCTCACAGATGTCAGGTCTAGATGATCCTAAACAAGAGGAATGAGGAGCCCAATCTGGTGTCATCTAAGGGTTGATGACTTTGACTGTCATTGATGTCACCTCTGAACCAGGAAATGTCTGCACTGTAAGAGGGAGGGCCATCTGTCCATTTAGAGGTGAAGCTATAGGAGACACTGAGGGGGACAGACAGACACACAGGTGAGCAGGGAAAGGGGGCTGGAACTGAGCGGGGGGCAGGTGGAGCGGTGGATGAGGAAACTGATGCACTGATGGATGTAGAGATGGGGTCTACTTTAAATCCACAGCATCATGCAGCATGTAGAGGAAGACTCAGAGCTGAAACTGCAGCAGAGGAGATGGAGGAGGAGTTTTCTTTTGGTGCTCCTACGTTCACTTTAATTGGACTTTGCAGAAAAAGTAAACTGGGTTCACCTTTGGGGAAGAAAGCAGTCAACAGCTGCCTCCTCTCTGTCAGCCGTCTTTCTTTTTCTTTCCTCTCTTTCTTCTCTTTCTTTTCTAGATACCCCGATTTATGCTTTTTGGGCATCATGATGTCTAACCCCCAGGTCATTAAATCTGGGCTCACTCATTGACGTTACACTTGTCACGGGTTGCTGCCTACAAGAGGGTTTCCCGAGAATGCACAATATATTGGGAGGACTGTGACAAAAAGTTCATTTTCTCAGTTGATGTGATCAATATATTTGTAAGAAATTATGACATCAATTAATTGGAGGGCCCAATTCATTCAAAATAAAACATCACAAAATGAAAAAATAAATACATAAATCAGGAGATTCATGGGCCCCTCTCTGTACTCGGCCCATCCCAGCAGCTAAGAAGCTGCTCTAGACCAGACTTTACTTAATATTTACAAAGACCAACAACAAGATGGTGAGAGTAGGTCTCACCCAGAACTACTCTGATTGCATCTCTATCTGCCATGAGTGAAACACTTTGCTGTATTTGGCAAGTCACAGTGGAGAGCAAAAACTTATTAACAGGTAGAAACCCTCAGCAGAACCAGACTCGTGTTAGACAGTCATCTGCTGAGACTGAGTTGGGTTTAGAGACAAGATAGAGGGAGATACAAAGAGAGAGAGGGAGAGATGTGCACAGAGATAAACAATAGTGGGAACAGTAATACATAGATGTTTGGTTACAGTGCCAGAGATTGTAATGGAGAGAGTAATAACATAGCAGTGGTTGCATTTGTGTTGAAGAAGTTAAGGTAAGTAATGAGAGTTGGAACCAGAACAATTGAAGCAGAAACAATCAAATATTTCTACAATTAATATTAGCTTTTAACAGTGACAGAAATGGAGGGACTGATGCTAATACTTAAACATTAGCTCTGTAACAGCGATACAAATGGACAGACTGAAGCTTGTAGATGAAACAGCTGGAGAGCAGGCAGGTCCACAGCAGCAAGACATCTGCAGCAGCAATCCAGAGGAGCCTATAGCATGACAGAGCTCAGGGACTCCCAGAAAAGACTGTGTTAGTATCAAAGTTAATGACACAGAGACGTAGAGAAAGGTGTTCAATGCTCCAGTGCACCCACCAGTATAAACCTAAAGCACCATAGACAAGAGCTAGAACCTGAACCAGCTCCAACTATAAGCCTTATCAAGAAGGAACGTTTGAGCCTACTCGTAAAGGTAAAGAGGGTGTTTACCCCTGGTAGATGATTCCAGAGGAAAGGTGCCTAATCACTGAAAGTACAGACATGGCAGCAGGTGAGGATTAAGCCGCTGAAGAGGTTCTGCCAGCGTTTTCATGCACAAATGAAAGTGACCATGGACATATCTCAGTTTCTAAACAGTCAGTATGTCATGAGCTCTACAAAGTTTGACCAGCATACAAAGAAAAACCTATGAGGCATGAATCACATATGTACAACAGAGCAGGGTCAGTTTTCTGATAAGTTTTAATACACCATCTGATAAAAAAAATAGTCACATAGTGTAAAATTCATCAGGATAATGACGTTAGTTATTTTGCATTTAGTTGATAGAGTGTTTACAATCAGATAAGCACTAAATATGCACATATAAACAATGATTATTAATTTATTATTTTATAATATTAACATACTGCAGGATGTTTTTCTGGTGTGGTTGTTTGTCAAAAAGGGAATATACAGAAAAAGTGAGGTTTGAGTATTTTTTTTTAGAGCTATAACAGTCCTGCTCCCTCTCCTCTCTTGATTTTCTTGAATCTCTCCATGCATCTCTGGTAGGAGGGACAGAGAGGAGAAGATGCAGGTGAAGGTTGCGAGGATGAAGCTTTAGGGAACTGAAATGTAGCCACTGTCTCCTCCAGAGGTTTACTCCTCTCAGAGTTTTTTTTTTTTTTTACTGATATGATGGAGTGACCTGATCAGCAGGTAAAAGATGAAGCTGAGGCAGGAGTGAGGGTGGAGGTGTGAGAGTCACACTGTCATGTCCATCCATCCATCCATCTCTCCCTCTCTGTTTCTCCCGGGGGAAGCCACACTCCATTGGCCTGAAATATTCCACTTTCTCTCCTTCCTATTCCCCCTCTCTCTGACCTTTCCCAGAATGCTCTGCCTCATTTTCATTCCCCGTCTCGCTGACCTCTCCCCGACGAGCCAGCCAATTATTTCCACTTTACACCCATAAAGAGCAGCGGGGTGCAGCGCGGTCACACAGGGCGCAGAGGACATATGGCGCAGAACCTCCAGCCTGTGTGTGTGTGTGTGTGTGTGTGTGTGTGTGTGGGCTGCTCACACTGAATACCAGAATCATGTCCCATCATCTGCTCAGGGGACTGGGGTAGCTTGGAGGTACATTCTCATAAACACATCCTGAAACTGTCAGTGTCTCATTTTGAAATAAAGGTCTGTTTTTTTGATAGAATTAAAATCAAATAGGTTTCTCTGTCAAGCTCAGGGAGCAGGCTGTAATTAAACAGGGAGGTCTGTCTGTCTCTGACAGTTTCTGCAGAGTGAAATCACGACATTTACTGAAAACATGGTCTCACTTTCTCCTCAGTTTTTGTGACCGTATGATGCACAATAAAATGCAAACAGACACTAATTCTGTATTTCTACGATGAAATGATGAAACCTACACTACAGGCCAAAAGTTTGGAAGCAAGATCAGATTTGTACAAAAAAAGATCATAGTTATATATATAATTTGCAACACAATTAACATCACTATTGTGTAAAGAGTAACTTATCAGAAGACATTTTGACTATAATTATTAGGTATTTGAGTTATTGTTGCTTAGATTTTGCTTTCTTAAAGTAACCTCCTCTGACTTTAACAAAAGCTTGGCATATACCAGGCATTCGTTCCACAAGTTTTTTAGGGTATGTTCCAGGGATTGCATTCCAAGCTTTCTTAAGTTCATTGAAAAGAGACTGCTGATTCGTGGGATGCGTTTTTCTGACCGATAGATCCAATTCATCCCACACAAGCTCAATTGGAGAAAGGTCTGGAGACTGAGGGGGCCAAACCATCTTTTGAAGAACACCTTCCTCTTCTTTTTTGTCTAGGTAACCCTGACAGAGCTTGGCAGAATGCTTAGGGTCATTGTCTTGCTGCAAAACAAACTTATGAGCCACAAGTCTTAGTCCAGATGGAGCAGCATGGTGCTGGAGGATGGAGTGGTACTGTTCCTTCTTCACGTTACCCTTTACTTCAAACAAAGCTCCTACTCTATCTCCTGCAAAACATCTCCATACCATGGAACTACCACCTCCATGCTGAATTGTGGGTGTAACACATGGTGCTTTCAGACTTTCACCAGTTTGTCTGCGGACATAGACTCTGCGTTTTGAACCAAACAGTGCAAACTTTAGAATCAGTCCAACGGTAAGGAAAACTTGGATTATTTCGCCTTGTCATGTACTTTCAACCGCGCTCTCGTCAGGGGGGCATTCTATGGCAGGGGTGTATTCTGTGGCATAACACCGGCTGTGGGAACGGGGTCTTAATAAATCCCCCTTAAATCTGTAAATCTGTAACTTTAACTCAAACATCAGCAAATGGCTGGACACAAACGATTTGCTTAGCTCGTACGTTGTATTTTTGATCTGCATTCTGCAACATGTTGGACTGCCATGATCTGACGACTTTGAATGAATTGAAAGTCAAGACTAGTCTCGACTTTTCACTTTGGAGAAGTCAAGCACTGAGGCATTATGCCTCGGCATGAAAAGCATGTTGTTGCCTAACAGCTGAGGCATTAAGCCATGATGATAATTGACGCTGCTCCGCGTGGCCTGCCTTGGCTTATTATTGCCTTGTTGGCTGAGCTTGGTGTGGTCTCTCTGTGTGGTGAACTGGTGATGGTGATGCATAAGTCGCGACGGCGGCACTGCGGGTGTGTTGTGTTTCAAGTTACCTGGCTGTAACTGGTTGAGTTTAACAGAGAGAGAGTTAGCAACCCAACTTACCTCGGAAGCAAGCACAGCACGACTACGAGGAGAGAGCAGAGGGGTGGGGAGGAGTCGTGTCCTGTGTGCAATTCATTGGGGACCGTAGCGAAATTGCATTCAGGTTGCAGGCAGACAGACACTTAAGCCCAAATATATAAATGATTTAGCCATTGTTTAGAGACTTTAAGACTGTGTGTACTGTTGTTAGATTGCTGTGTTTTTGTTGTTGTTTTATAATGCGAAATAAAAAGTATTTATAAAAAAAAAAAATCTTCTCAAAATCTTGGCGCCCTTTCTGCTCACAGGCGCCCCTAGCAGCCGCCTACTCCGCTTAATGACAGGAGCGCCACTGCTTCAGAAGATCAGCTGTTGGGGCAATTTTCATGTATTTCTCAAGGGAAGGGCACCAGAGAGGGCATTTAATGATGTTTTATTTACATAAGGAGCATCAAGGAGGGCACATCTGCAGCATTTTTCTGAAATGAGGGCAGAGGGTGACATGCTCTGGACTTTGGCCCCCTCTCTCTCCTTAGTCCTGGAAGATGGGTATTTTTCAAAGTGATGCCTCAGAATTTTATTTCCTTTAAGTACTGCAACACATTTTCTATAAATGGGTCGTATTGGTTCAGTATTTGGAGTTCACAGTGAATTAGATGAGTACTTTGTGGGCATCATCTTTAAAAGTCAGGATATTGAGTGTGTTTGAATGTTTTCATCATGACTACTTCCATGAACCTCTGTCCTGATTGGTGCTGTGCATGTGAAACTCTCTGCAAAGATATGAATAGAGAAAGAGAGCTCAGTGAGTTTCGTGCACTGTGTATGTGCTGTACAGTTATTTTGTCATATACTAGATACATGTGCTCTGGTCAGGGGTTGCTCAGAGGTTGCAGGTAGGCTAGATTTGGCCCGGGGCTGCAAATTGAGTAGCCCAGCCTTAAATTATTTTGGTGTGGTGGTCCAGCAGCTTCCCAAACATTCTTCTTCTTACATGAAATCTACCAACCAATTTTTCTCCTTGAAGCTCCTGTGACGAACTTTCAGTTTAGGTCATAGATGGGTACATGAGTCTGAGACTTGGACTCGAGCACAGAGCTTCTTACACCTAGATTATAACTGGGAAAGCTGCTCAAGTACAATTTGTTGCCTTTTTAAGTGAACAATTAAAGATGACCCCTTACCCCCCGTATGGTGTGAATACCATCTGCTCTGCAATTGATCAAAGAGAGAGAAAGTCAGAGAGAGAAAGTCCTTCCTTTTAGTGTGGGATAATGACTGTGATCAACACCTGACATAAAAACCTTCTCATACAGCTGTTTTGCTCAACTGGTTGCTGTTGCTAACTGTTATCAAAGGTTCAAAGGTTCAAAGGTTTCTTTATTTATACCTTGCGGTAAATTTTGTTTGCAGGCAGGAACCCAGCCGTCCAGATAACACACACATAAAAATAAAAATAACAATACAACAGTCAAGTACACCAGGTGATCTTCCACACACAGGTCACCTGTTGTGATACTGAAACATTCAAACATGGGTCATGTTATTTAGGGTCCTGCTGATGAATTTTTCCAAATATCAGACACTGAAAAGCGTAAAGAAAATGCAGGAAAGAGGAGGTCTCAGCACTGCTCAAAGAGGAGAGGTGAGGATGTCAGGGGCGGATTCAGGTTTTTTTTTCCAGAGGTGCCCTAGCCCCAGAGGTGCTCCCCCTCCCTGCAATTTTAAACACTCTAAAATCCTGAACCCTGAGTTGCTATTCACCTTGTTATATTTGGGACTCCTGTCAAAGTCAGCTTTCTTGGCTGTTGGCAGTGACCTTAAGTGCTGTGTGTAACTTTCTTACTATAGTGAGAAAGAACACATTTTTTTGTGTTATTATATTCTAACATGTGTTATGTTACATTTACACATCCTGTGTTATTATCCTAGACACACTTTTGAGTTAATGCTATTTTAACACATAAAATAGCTATCGTGAATTAAACACAACATATGTTAGCCACTGCTGGGTCAAAGAGGTTATTAATGAAAACACCTGCCAGGGTTATTTTTAACCAAGCAGTTGCTTTATTAATTGTCCTACTTATGAATAATTGTGGAATCATCTTTTTATTAATTTTTCATTTTATTTTTATTTTTATTTTTATACATTTATAAATTCTGTAACTTTTTTCTTTCTTTCTTTTTATTTTTTTGAGAGGGAGAAAGCCCCTCCCTCACAAGAGAGGGATGTGTGTGTGAGAATGACACTAAAACAAATCAATCAAATTGATATGAAACTTTTATTTGATCTTTATGAAGCCTTGTTAAAAACAATTTTTTCCAGAGCTTAAAGTTTTTAAATCAGACTTTTCTTGATCACCCTGACTCTGCCAGTCTCTGCTTTTTCTTTGTTTCAGTTTCTTTGTCTTTGTTCTGCTGTCGTCGTTCTTCCTCATCTAAACTGCTGCGGTGTGGAGCATTTTGGAGTCTCTGTGTCCTGGTGTGATGATTCTCTCTGTTCTCTAACAGCTCAAAAATGAGCACACAATGAACACAAACTCCCACAGAGTCACAAACAACATTTACTTTATCTGAGCTTTCACATCTCTGCCCGCCTCTGTCAGTGTTTTCTCTGTGTGTTTTACTGCAGGAGACACACAAGCCTGACATGAAGGGAGAGGAATGTGAGATGGGAGGAGGAAGAGGACAGGATCAGAGGAGGAAGGAGGAGGGAGACAGTGGAGGTAGAGAGGGGGGTGTTCATGTCCAGATGGCCTTGGAGACATGCAGCATATGCCCCACGCCAACCGGCCTTGCCTGCAGCTGCGGCCTGGCCGAGGCTGACACGACGCTAGCAGGGTCAGTGGTGCCACACGGACCTGGACATGGATGATCATGTCGAAGATGATCAGAGGAAGAGGAGGGGAGCAGGGGGAGGGTGAGGGGGCTGCAGGTGGGGTCATGTAGTTTCTCAGATGATGAATAAAAGCGACACCTGGATGCACCTCATTTCATCTGGTAGATATCAGAACACAGGGATTACAAAGGAAACAGCGGGATTATGGAGAATAAACCGAGGTAAGGAACACGCATAGACACGCACACACATGTCTGAGTCTGATTAGCACAGCTTTGCGACAGGGGACTGTGAATCAGTGAAGTATTTTTTATGACTTTTCATGCCATTTGTTAAAAGATTGGATAATGCATGAAACAGAAGCATGCAGTGTAGGGCAGAGGGTGAGAATCAAAACCAACTGTTATCACGGACATTAATGTTAAAAGTAATTATTGCTACTTTTGTCTTTAATGTTGTCATTCTCATGTTACCTGACTACAACCAGACATTGCTAACACACCCGGAGAAAGAAAGGGGAGTTGGTGCAACACTGACGGCATACTGGCAGTGCTTTAAGTGGAACAAAATAAGTGCGGGTACTCCCTAAATGCATAAACATAAGAACATGTCATGATTTTACTGGTTTGGACACTTAGTGGCTCTGTGGAGTTTTTCTTGTGTGGACCCCCTGTATACACAATGTGTGAAATACAAAGTCATCAGGCCTGAACTTGTGGAGTTTACTGGGAAGCAACAAAAACAGGCTGACTCCACTTCCACCAGACAGAGGGGATAGATATGGATAGGAGATGGCAACAGCTGAAAGCAAAAAGAAGCAGAAAAACATGAGCTGTGAATGTTAGGAAATTTCCTTCCACCAGGAACCTATAAAAGCCACTTTTCATACTTTGAATAATTGAAATACATCAGCAGAGTTTAATGTTGAAAATGTTGAATATGAATTGTTGATCTTAAAAACAGTCTTCGTCTCCAAAAAATAAGACAATAGGGTTGACCTTCATTAGAATTAAGATACCAGATACTTAAAAAAAAGGCTCCAGCAGGTCTTGGGTTCATCTTTGCTTGATTGGTTTGGTGCTTCACAAGTCCTCCCATCAGCAGATCTTCTTCCCTTTGCCAGCCATGACCTTACGTAAATGTGTGGACTGAACTTCTTGTTCATGTTCCTTTTGGCAGAAAGACTGTCATTCATGCTGCTAAAGACTTGCTCACAGTCACTGATAGATACACACAGCAATAGTGTTGACAGCTTGAGGTAAGGGCTTTAGATCCGTTGGTGTCCTGGATCCTCCTTTCTCCTTGTATTCCTGAAACCCTTAGATACTTCCTATTCTTTTTACTTTTAGCCCGTCACACAAGTGGAGCACCTCTACATCACCATGCTGTATGTCAGGCCATTTATTTGGCTGGAGAAGCATCATATCATTCGCTAGCTGGGATTCACCACTATGCAAGGAGCTTTGTGTGCTGACACAAGAGGAGGTTGATGGATTCATCCTACACTTCAAACTTTCTGCCACGCTGCATAAGAACTGGCCTGCATTGATCTTCACAATTCTCTCATTTTCGTGAAGCTACAGACTTTTTCTTTCAGAGCTTGAAGAACAGCCACTGAGTATGGGCCAGTGATGATACCATGGATTCAAACACTCGAATCTGTCTAACCAGCAGCTTCTTCTCATCCCCAAATGCAAGCATTAAACACCCACTCCACTAACTTGACATCCAAAGTCCTTGCTCAGTCTAGGAACCAGTGAGCTGACTTTGGGACATACCTTGCAGCCAAGCTTTCTGTCTTTGGCAATAAACCAGTTATTCTGTGAGCAAAAATACCGCACTTGATTCATTGACCAACAGTCTGGCCACTGCTCATCTTGTCTAATGTTAAAGTTGACATCTCTTTCAGCAGCGATATCAACAGCAACAAGTGTTTGTGCAGCAGCAAGCTCCTTCTTGGATGCGTTGATGCTAGCTTGCGGCTTCTGACCTCTGTTTTCTGGTGTAGTGAGGGACTGTTCGAGGGTTCTGCTGTCATCATTCAACTCTGCTCCAGTTCGTGTTCTCTTTTAACCTTTTCAGAGCCAGGCCAACACCACAGCCGTGACCGTTTTCCCTCCGCTTTTCCTCTCTCATATGAAACACTTACATCCACTTAAATGATTACACAGAAGCGAGAGCCTTTTTTTAATTTATTTTTTTTACTTTAAAAATTAAGAGTCATCATACACAATATGCACTGTGCCATGACGTCATATGGCAAGAGTCACGCGTCAAAACAATGGGTTTCTATCGGGTTGATATATTTTTATTATCAACAAATACAAGCTGTAAACTGTGGTCAGAGGAGGGTACTGACGGCTGGGGAAAACCAGAACAGTCCAGGTAAGCTGATGGGTAAAATGTCAAAGTGCCAGTACTGTGTACAACTTTGTTCCAGCCCACTTAAAGCACTGCATACTGGGAAAACCAACAGTCAGTTGATTCACCAAATCACAAACAACTAAAAAAAGGGATCATGTGGCCTTTGTAGACTTTTAGTTATCTATGGTAATTGGTAATTCAGTAATTTAAGTAAACTGACAGCTTTGTATAAGGTAATGATTCTTTTAAAGACAGACTGAGTATGATCCTTGATCAGATTATTGTGAACAAAGATCATCTTATAAAAATCTTTCAGGATATAAAGATACTGGTGGAGACTGTAAATGGTTTAAGACAGACAGGTCTCTGCTGTTCATTCCGGAATCTGACTCTACAGCTGCTCCCGTCTGCAGACGGTACAGCTTGTTTGCCTCTACATTAACTCATCCCTGCAAGCAATTTGTTTCTGCATTTCCCTTTAACAAAGTTACAAACTCTGATAGAAAGCAGTGTAAGACATTGAAAGCCTGGCATGGAAACAAAACAGTGTATTAATAGACTAAAAAAGTTTGGAGCTCCGCCTGAGAATCAGCTCATTTTCTAAAAGTAGGGGAAGCGGTGAAGGTCACACTGCTCCACTTCAGTGACACAGTTACACAATGATGGGCAGGCTGAGCTAAAAACTTTCACTCAGACTTTTCACTCTCGCTCTCTTTCTTCAAATAGGCTGAAATAAATTAAAGAGAAAATGGATCATTATCAGAGATAGCATTGTGTGAGTGTGTGGAGTGTAATGCAAATTAACTCTTTCTCAACCGTTCCTATTAATCTGTTCTTTTAGTGTCAGAGGAGCAATATATGCAGACTCAACACTGTCAGGGAGAAGTATGTTCAATATGAAGAAGCTAACAGTTTAGGAGTGAGCACAGACACAGTTAACAGATAAAACAATGTTAGAAATGTATGTGTCAGTTTGTGTGGCTGGTCTAGCACACAGACAGACAGTTCATTTGTCTAATGTTAATATGATGTTATCTCTAAACTCGAGAAGACCAACACCCTAGTAAAACATAATTTAAATCCTTTAATGAAATAAAAAACAGATGAGTTTTAGGTAAAATCAGCCAGTATAGTTGTCAACTTCTGCTGTAAAAATTTAGACATTTTGTCATGAGGCTCTGCTGGGACTGACTGGCTTTAAGAAACAGCCTCCAGTGGACAGTGGAGAAACTACAGGGTTTGGTTTGCACATCTGTGTTGGATTAATTTTCAACCCTGGAGGCTTGTGGGGAGTAGGATCCAAGTTTGGGTGTAAGATAAACACAAATAAATACAAGCTGAATTTAAACCATAAGGTGATGAACAGGCCCTTGCACCTTTTTGTATGTTGGGGCCTAATGCAGCTGTTGGATGTACAGCAGGATCTGTATTCGCTGCAGCTACTGCTGTGTGTTGGTACGTGGTGCAATCACTATGACAAAATTTAAAATGTATAAAGATTACTTTAGGTCAAAACTATGAGATTATGTGTGAATAGGCATTGTGGTACCACTTTTAATTGGTATTGCTGTGACTTTGAAATTCAATTCTGCTGTAAAGTTTAATACCTTGTTATGGAAAACTGAATGAGTACAGTCTTTATTAACAGTTAAAACTGTATGTTCAATGGGTGGCACTATTTGTATGACCAAAAAAAATACAAAGATGAGTTCTGGCTAAGACCTTCATAAAACCTGTGACATTTGGTACAGATCATAGATTGTATGTGACAGTTACTTTCATCTTTTTCCACAGGGTGCCACTATGACAGTAATGGGAAAATAGCACATAGTTGTATTGAGGGGTGGACCTTTATCATGTATAAGAAATATCATACAGATTAAACTCTATATGGAGGAGTTACAGTAACTTTCTGTTTAATGGTGAGACATGGTTGAAATGGGTTGTCACAGCTCCACCCTTTGACATATGAGATATTGACTTTTAATCTCGGATGTGGTTACTCTGTACTGACCACCATGGAAGATAACCTGATTAAATCATCATGTGAACTTTGTTTGGAAATACAGTCCACAAATCAGGCTGTGAAAAATTCAAGTAAAAATAGCAGACTTCCTGTTTGGTTTATGGTAGCTATGGGTGCAAGATGATTTTTGGAAGGTCTTTGTCTGTTGCATTTTCCTTGTAAAATTATGCCTGAGGGTTAAACACTGTACTGGAGCTGAGTTTTTCAGCCATGAAGTTGAGGAGACACTGTGGAGCCATTTTGAGAACTTTTTTCACATAACTAATGGATTATAATTTTTTTGTACCAAGCCTGATGCATGTGCAGAATTTTCTCCAGTTTAGAGCATGTTAAGCCCTCCAAATATGTGATTATTAGGCCCCACAGAAAGAGGGTTTTCTCATGTTTTGGTGCCCAGGCCCTAAATTACTTTATTGAAATCAAGATCATTTGGCCAAAGCAGGCAATCAAAAATCTGAATTATAACCTTCCAAACAACCATCAAATAGCAACAAAATGTATGTTAACAATCCCTAAAGCAAGTTTTTTTGGAAGGCAGATGGGATTTGATAAGTGTTTGTCCTGCTGTGATGGAAAGAACTGTTTCTAACACCAGTTTAATTATGCAGGTTAATGTGAACTTTTGTCTACATGCTAAAGCAGGTATGTGACATATTCATACATCTCAAGCACAAGGTTTTAGTTATTGTTCTCCTAATATGACTTTAAGGGGTTATAGGTGATGAAAACAGCTTTATATCTCATGTCACAGCTGATGTAGTTTAACTTGTGCCAAAGAAAGATTTGGATGGTGTTTCCAACATGAATTTTGCCTGCACAGAAAAAGCTCCATATCTGTTTGACACAGCTACAGGTCCCACTACCTTCTTTTAGAAAAGTTGTCCATGATTCGTTATAAAAAACAGAAAACAGACTTTCCCAGAGCTGAGATCAGCATCCCTCTCTCTCATCTCCGTATCTGCTCTCACATAACAACAGCTCTATTTTCTTTGTAAGGAGGTTTTTTTTTTTCTCAGCCAGCGATGTCCCTCCTCTCTAAACCTCAGCAGCAGGGACGCTGAGAGTCGATAAGGCGTCCGCTTCCTTATCAGCACTGATAAGAGATAAGAGTGTGGATGGAGCTGGGACTGTTAATTAGAGCATCGATTCAACAGGACTCTGCTGCACTGACCCGCCTGCTGGACTCCAACATGAACACAGTTTGTCTCAGGCTGATTTATTCCGAGCTGGTGGTCAGTGGGCCACGGTCCCGACAGCAGAGAACAAGGACGGTCCAGGATCCTCCGATAAGAGCCACAATCAGACCAAATGCACAAACACACTCGTGTGTATGTGTTTGAGTGTGTGTGTGTGTTTGTGTGTGCAGGAACAACCTCTGCATTAGCAGCAGAATAAAATGCACAGCATCAATCAGGAGACTGAGGTCAGGACAATGAAAACTGTGAAATCAGCAAGAGCAGCAGGAGCAGGTGTTTACAGTACAGAGAGGTTTCACTCATTAACACAGACCTGAAACTCTCTGGATTATTAACTTTTTAAAAAATAATTTTAAATTCCTACAAGGACAAAAAAATTAACAAATTCAGTAAGGGATCCAAATATAAACAAGAAAAAAATCAAATGTTAATTGAACATGCACTGAAATACTGAGATACAAAAAACACCATTTTTATTTCACAAAACATGCAGTTGCTGAGGAGGAAATAGAGACTGATGTTGCAGCACAACTATGAAAACTCTGAGATTAATTAGTCTTTATCTATTAAGCACTTTAGCACACAAAAATATAGCACAAAGTGCTGGCCATTCAAGCAGAATATATACATATTGAAAAAAAATACAAATACAGAACCCCACCCACCCTCCTGACCCACATTCAACACTTACCACACTCATGTTCTCACACACAGACAAAGACAAACAAACAAATAAATAAATAAATGGGTGATAAATCTACTGGAAAAATGCAAGTTATCTCACAGGATCTGCATTCTGGTACTAAAAACAGTGACATGAGAGGGAATTTTTTCATTAGAGCCTAATCTTGAACATGGTTTCAAAAGTTTGCAAATTGAAGGCTGAAGACACCACATGACATGAATGGTTTCTATTCATTACAGTTCTCAAAGAAAATCAGGTTTAGCTGCAGCTTAACTTTTGCTGCAATTTAGTCGGAAAAGGATACTAATCATACAACAGAGCAGGAACAACAACCTCTTTCTCTGCAAATTTCCAGAAATTAACAAGGTGAGCTGTATTATCCCCCCTAATTTCACCTGCTAGCCCCTTGGTATCGTTTTTGGTGAGCTTATGTTTGAACACAGCAGCAGATCTTCCAGATAATTCCTTTAGAGGAGCATCAGGTGGGGGTAGCAGGCAGGGGTGTTTACATTTCTTATGCAGCTGGCTGGTATTCTGTTTAGTTTTGCGACTTGGTTGAAATGCTAGTCCAGTGCAAACTGAAATAAAGGTGTTTGGTTGGCACTTTTCATTAATGTATTAAGTTATAAACAGGGACACATTTACTGTAAGACTAAAGCATCATGTTTTTTGTTCACGAGTATTAAACTGTTACTTCAGAATTTATGAGAGGTGTATTTCAGTTAATCAATTTCCCCTCTCCAGTAACACTTCCAGGAGAGAATCAATGTACATCACACCACTATTCTCTATCTGTAATGTCTGAGCTGTAGGAGTGTGTTTGATCCTCTATTACACTATCTATCATTAAGATTTACAGAGAAGCTGACCTCTATAGACTAATGTCCTCGATCAAATATACTCCCACATATGACAAGCTCCACACAGTACAGAGCCGCTTAATGACACATCTCCATGGGCAACACTTTTTCACATTACACTATTTTTAACCTCTCAGAGCAGCACGTATGGTAATTAAATTACGCCTCCTCTCTACTATGTTCACTTCACTTCTCTGCTCATACTGTAGTTACATTTGATTACTCATCATGTCATCACTCAGGTTAAAAAAACATCAGTTGTAAGCGCGTACGTCTGTCTCAGTGTGCTAACTACTGGCCTGGCATACATACTCCTAGGACTGGGCTATTATATGATCATAATTAATGACCGTGATAAATTTCAGTTCAATCACAGTGATCAGCTTTGAGCATATTTACCCGATCAAACATGGCAGAGATGTACGTGACAACAGCCAATCAGAGTCAAGCTTTTCCTGCTCACTTCAGTAAGTTGCCGGAGAAGTAAACAGAATGACCGAATGTGGAGCTAAACGCAGAGCTGATGGCAGCTAAATAGATGTTTTTGATGACTTTGAGTCATCCACCGAAGATGCCATTGTTGAGAAGAAAAGTTATTCAATGTAGGGTTGTGTGGCGGTGGTTCAGGTATCTCCAAAGTGACGTAGAGCAATTACGTCAATGTGTAAGGTATGTCGGTGGTCTGTGCCCTCAAAAACCATCAACACAACAGATCTGTTAAATAATTTGAAGAGGTACTTCCCGAATGTTTATACAAAAAGCATCATCATCAGCATTAAAAAGTATCATCTACGTTTACATCATCTAATATTTACATTTTAAGGCGTCTTAATTATCCCTGAGGGGGAAGTGTGTTAATTCTGGGTCTTGCATACCTGCAGAAACACTCAGGACTGTAAACTAGTTCACTGTATTATTTAGTATTTATCTACATTTGTTGTACTGTTGAGTTAAGGGTTTTCATATTTTTCTGTTTATCAATTCAATTTGCTTTGTTATTTACTTTGAAGGGGAATAAAATGTTGAACTTCTTTCTAGTTTCTTCAGTTTTTAATAAAAATGCTTTAAAACTGGCAGTTTAAAAAAATACAAAAAAATTGTGATAATAATCAAGATCAGATGATTTGACAAAATATATTGCCCAGTCCTACATACACAAGTGTTTCAGCCATTTCTGCAGATCTGTGTTGATAAAGAAAGGTTTTTCAGTTGTTAATGGGGCTGTTTTCATCCAAACAAGGCCTGAGACTGACCTATCTGCCTGCTCCCCATGGAGCTTTGAATGAGTGAACTATTTGACGGATCTCTGCACTGAAGCGACTGCATGATTTCTCTAAATCCATCATCTCACACAGTCAGAGCTGACCATTATCACACATTCATATGCACACACACACACTCTCTCTCTATCTCACACTCACACACACACTCAGTGAAACTGTACTCTTAACCGGGCCGAGCTGCACAAATCTCAGCATGAAAGGGAACGTTTGACAAGAGGTATTAGCCGTCCCTTTGAGGATCACAGCCCTGCTAAGAGAAGAGGATTCAAATCAGCCCCTCCAACCCAAAGTGCTATCATCCCCCTCCCCTCCCTTCCCCTCCTCTCTCCTCACTCACCCGTGTCCTCCGCAGTATCCGTCAACTTTCCAGTCTCCTGTCCTGTTGGTCTTATCTGTGATGGACGCTCTCTGTGAACATCATCTGCAATCACAGCATCACCTACAAGTTGTGTGTATGTGTCTGTGTGTGTATCTTCTGTAAAAAGCAGAATCAATGCTGTTTGCACTGTGAGTGGCACCCTGGGTTTCTGTGAGGGGGGATTTTCATCATGTCAGGAACAAGGACGTTGGAGTTCAAGCAATGTGTGTGAAGGACGACAGTGTGTGTGTGACGTTTTAATCTTCCTCAGTCCTCTGTGCGTGTGTCTGGGTGTGCGTGTTTGCTGTGTTTGTATTTCCTCTCCTGCTGGCTCTGTGAGGAAACTCTTTGATTTCTCAGGTTATTTCCATGAACTGAAGGTTTGTCTGCTCTCTGCCGTGGCTCACCGTCAGAAGTCGACTTTGGATCGTGTTCCAGGAAGAGACTTTGAATCTCTGAAAGGATTTCTCTTTGCTTTTTGTTCTCCAACATTAAAAGGTGT